TGGTCCAGTTGTAAGATTTTTGTTTTCTTTATATTGAGGTGTAATCCACACTGCTGACTGTATTCTTCAATCTTCACCAGTAAGTGTTTCAAGTCATCCTCACTTTCAGCAAGCAAAGTTGTGTCATCAGCGTATCGCAGGTTGTTAATGATTCTTCCTCCAATCCTGATGCCATGTACTTCTTCATATAATCCAGCTTCTTAGATTATTTATGTGCTCAGTGTATAGATTGAATAAGTATGGTGAAAGGATACAATCCTAACACACTTCATTCTTGACTTTAAACTATGCAGTATCCCCTTGTTCTGTTCAAATGACAGCCTCCTGGTCTATGTACAGGTTCCTCATGAGTACAATTAAGTGTTCTGGAATTCCTATTCTTTTCAATGTTATCCATAATTTGTTATGATTGACACAATCAAATGTCAAAAAAGACCAAAACGGCTGTCAGAAGAGACTCTGAAATGGTCAATAAAACACAGGTTAACATCTTCCTGGGAGCTCTGGTAGCATAGTGCTTAAGGCACTTGACTGTTAACCAGAAGGCTGGTGGTTCAAACCCACCAGCCACTCCTCAGAAGGAAGGTTGGGCAATCTACTTCCATAGTGATACCACCTCGGAAACCCAAGGTGTGTGTGTGGGGGGGTCGCTATGAGTTGGGTCTGACTCGACGGCACATCACAACAACAACAACAACATCTTTCTGGTATTTTTTGCTTTCAGCCAAGATCCATCTGACATCAGCTATGATATCCATCTTTCCACATCCTCTTCTGAATCCAGCTTGCACTTCTGGAAGTCCTCTGTCAATATACTGCTGCAGCCATTTCTGAATTATCTTCAGTAAGGTTTTACTTGTGTGTGATATTAATGATATTGTTTAATAATTTCCACTTTCTGTGGGATCACCTTTCTTTGGAATGGGTATAAATATGGATCTCTTCCAGTCAGTTGGCCAGGTAGCTGTCTTCCAAATCTCCAGGCATAGCCGAGTGAGCATCTCTAGTGTGGCATATGCTTGTTGAAACATCTCAATGTGTATCCCATCAATTCCTGGAGCCTTGTTTTTGCCACTTCCTTCAGTGTAGCTTCAACTTCTTCTTTCAGTACCATTGGTTCTTGATCATATGCCACCTCCTGAAATAGATAAACATCAACCAATTCTTTTTGGTACAGTGACTCTGTATTCCTTCATCTTCTTTTGTTGTTTCCTTCATCATTCAATATTTCGCCCATAGAATCTTTCAACATTGCAATCAAGGCTTAAATTTTTTCCTCAATTCTTTCAGCTTGAGAAATATCGAGCATATTTTTTCTAACTCCAGCTCTTTGCACATTTCATTATAATAATTGACTTTGTCTTCTTAAGCTGCTCTTTGAAATCTTCTGTTCAGCTCTTTTATCTTGTCATTTCTTCCATTTGCTTTAGCTACTCTCCATTCAAAAACAAGTTTCAGAGTCCCTTCTGACAGCCATTTTGGTCTTTTCTTCCTTTCTTGTCTTTTTAAAGACCTTTTTCTTTCTTCATGGATGATGTTCTTGATGTCATCCCACAATTCCTCTGGTTTTCGGTCATTGGGTCATTGGTGTTCAATGCATCAAATCTGTTTTTTAGATAGTCTCTAAATTCAGGAGGTTTATAATAAAGGTCATAATTTGGCTCTTGTGGACTTGTTTTAATTGTCTTCAACTTCAAGTTGAACTTACATATGAGCAGTTGATGGTCTGTTCAACAATCAGCTCCTGGCCTTGTTTTAGCTGAAGTTATTGAGCTTATCCATGATCTCTTGCCACAGTCTGATTGCTGTGCACTCCATCTGGTGAAGTCCACATGTATAGCTGCTGTTTGTGTTGTTGAAAAAAGGTGTTTACAATGAATAAGTCACTGTTCTTGCAAAATTCTATCATGCGATCTCCAGCATTGTTTCTATCACCAACGCCAAATTTTCCAGCTATCTATGATTCTTCTTTGTTTCCAACTTTTGCATTCCAATCATCAGTGATAATCAGTACATCTTGATTGCATGTTCAGTCAATTTCAGACTGCAGAAGTTGATAAAAATCTTTTCCTCATCTTTGGCTTTGGTGGTTGGTGCGTAAATTTGAATAATAGTAGTATTAACCAGCCTTTAGCTTGTGGGCATATGGATATTATCCTATCACTGACAGCATTGTTTTTCAGGATAGATCTTGAAACATCCTTTGTGATGATGAATGCTGCTTCATTCCTCTTCAATTTGTCATTCCCAGCATAGTAGATCATTTGATTGTCTGATTCAGAATGGCCAAAACCTGTCCATTTCAGCTCACTAATGCCTAGGATATCAATCTTATACATTCCATTTCATTTCTGACAACTTCCAATTTTCCTAGATTCATACTTTGTGCATTCCATGTTCCAATTATTAATAGATGTTTTCACCTTTTTCTCTTCAGTTTGAGTTGTGCCATGTCAGCAAATGGAGGTCCCAAAAGCATTGCTTTATCCATATCATTAAGTTCAGTTCTACTCTGATAAGGCAGCTCTTTCCCAGTCCTATTTTGAGTGTCTTCTGACCTGAAGGCCTCATCTTGCACTGTATAGGACAGTGTTTCAGGGCTATTCATAAAATTGTCCAGTAATGTATCAGACAGTGTTTTTTTTGCTATTTATAAGGTTTTCCCTGGCCAATTCTTTGAGAAATGGATGGACTCTTCCTTCTTCTGACTCTGTCTCAGTGTGGAAGCTCCACTGAAACCTGTCTACCATGGGCAACCCTGCTGGCATTTGAAACACCAATGGCACAGTCTCCAGCATCACAGCAACACACAAGCCACCACAGTATGACAAACTGACAGACAAGTTCATCTCCCTTAGGTGTTTCAAACTTCTCCACCCACTTTCTGGCCTTCCCCCTACCTGTTTCGGCCTCCAGCCCTGGCTTTCTGCTTCCTGCCTGGGTGGGGGCCCTCCCTCCCCTTACCTGGATCTGGCTGTCGGCCCTGGCTTCCTCCTGCTTCCTACCTTGGGTAGGGGCTCTTCCTCCCCTTACCTGGATCTGGCCATCAGCCCTGGCTTCTTCCCGCTTCCAATGGTTTTAAATCTTGACTCTGTCCTAATCTGCTGATCTGACCTTGGACAGGCCACCTGGACTCTCTGCATGTCCTCATTTTTAAAGCAGCAACATTCATACCTATCTTTCAGTAGTTTTGTGATGATTGGAACTCATATATGTATGATTGGAACTCATATATATAAAGTTCTTGGATTCTACGAGTCTTTGACAAATAACTGGGCATGAAATAAATCTTTATTTTCTAAATCACTGTCTCTTAAACTCTTAATCCCAGAAAAGGAGTTTGAACAACCTGAAAATCTAAATGGATTTACAAGCTGCAATTATTTTTAATGCAGCTAAAGGTGTCAGCTATAAGAGTCTGGTTGTTAAAAGAGTTAGTATAACCTCGCTTGGAGAAATAGCACTGAGAAACCCTTCCCCAATGCAGATTAAAATTGCTCCCAAAGTCATGAGTTCCATTCATTTAGCTAAACTTTTTTGATCTCCTATATTTTGCTGCCAGTCAGGACATATAGGCAAGTAAAACCTGACATCTGTCCTCCTAAGAAATTGAGCAAGGTAGAAAAGTAACAAAATAATTGCACTATCTAGGCTGGATAGAGGTAGAAATTTTATTCATTTTAACCTGAGAATCTCCTACAATGATGGCTCTGTCAACTCTGAATACACTTGGAATTGGGGCAAAGAATCAGGTTGCTATGCTTTAAGCAAAGCAAGGGTCAGGTGAGTAAACTTCAGGATTGGGAAACTATAGACTCAATTTCTTCATCTCCAGAATTAACATTGAGTTTGAGACAAACCATTTCTCTCCAGATTTCCATTCTCAAATATTTAGGGGAGATATATAAACACATCTTCTTCCTGAGAGGTATAATGAGAAAATGTTTAATGATAAAGAGCTTTGAGCTTCATAGGAAAAAAAAAATGTCAAGCTTCACAAAATCATTGCCACTTTTCAATGTCACTAAGTTCACTCTAAAAGGAGTTTTGGTAGCACAATAATTAGGTTGCTAACAGAAAGATAGATCTTCTAACCCACCCAGTGGCTCCTCAGGAGAAGAACATGACCATTTGCTCCCATAAAGATTATAGCTTAGAAAACCTGATAGGGTTTTCTGTCATATGAGGCTACTATGCATCGAAATTGACTTGATGGCACCTAACAACAGCAAGTTCTCTCTTAGCAATGAATGGCTTTGAGTCAAGTTGCTTTGGCTTTGAGTCTTCTGTTCCAGGCTAATAGGCTTGTGGTCCTTTATGTTACTCAGGCCTGGCCTCATAGCACTCACCTAATCCCCAAGCCAACTCTCTGTCACCTGCTGCCCAGGGCTTCCCTGTTGTCTTTGTGTGAGCCAGTTGGTACCCAAGCATATGCAGCCCACAACTGCATGGGAGTAAATGCTTCATGGGGACCAAAAGTGGATGGGAGTTGACGTTAAGACCTTCCTCCTTTTGCCCCCTGGATGAGCTAGGGGGAATCCAGTAGCTTCATACATCCTCTCCTGCAAAATGTAGCAGTCAGCTTGTCAGAAAGGTTTGGCCACTCCATAATGCAGTCTTGTATGTTTACTCTCACTCTTATTTGCCTCATTACCTTTTTTTGTCATTCTTTGTGAGCTTTTGCCTCTGGCTCTATATTTTTAGGAAACCTGATAGAGGAAACCTATTATAGCTGAAATTGACCTTAGAGGTATTCTTGTCCCAGGCTTTCATATAACAGGAGAGAAAACTGAAGGCCAGTGATTCAGAAGTAAAGTGAATTACTTCAACCACTTTCTTCAGGCTCCAGGTTCAGTATACTCTAAGTAACATTATATATGTACACACACACACACACGTGTGTGTGTGTGTGTGTGTATATATATATATATATATATATATATATATATATATATATATACATATCTTATTTATTTATTTGTCTTTCCTTTCCTCCTCAGAAATAGCAGATAAGATCTACAATCTCTTCAATGGCTATACCAGTGGGAAGGAGCAACAAACTGCTTACAATACTCTCCTGGATCTGGGTTCCCCCACCTTACATCGAGTCCTCTACCATTATAACCAGCACTATGAGAGTTTTGGAGAATTCACCTGGAGGTGTGAAGATGAATTAGGCCCCAGGTATATGGAGTCCTTGGGTGATACAAACAGTTAAGCACTGAGATATGACCAAAAGGGGTTGATAATTTGAACCCATTCTGAGGTGCCTTAGAAGAAAGACCTGGCAACCTGCTTCCAAAGGGTCATAGCCATGAAAACCCTGAAGAGCACAGTTCTACTCTGCAAATCATGGGGTCATCATGAGTTGAAAGTGGCTCAGTGGCAATTGGTTACTCAACAAATTGCATTGTTTCTTTTAAAGAAATTTGATACCTTCTACACTATCATAAAAGGTGCTGTGGTAGTGTAGTGGTTAAGGCATTTGGCTACTAGCAAGAAGGTTGGTGGTTCAAACCCACTAGCCACTCTGCAGAAAAAAGATGAGGCAGTCTGCCTTTGTAAAGATTTACAGCCTTGGAAACCTTGGAAGCCTTGGAGAGTGGGGGTCACTATGAGTGGCAGGGAGTTTGATTTTTTTGGAGTTTCACATTATCATACTGCATCCATACATGAATTTGCAGATGTCCTGGTTGAGCTTAGGTGCTTGGAGGAAAGAAATAAATCCTGTGATTTTAGACAGCTCAGTTCATGAAGATTAGTTCTGGGTAAGCAGTATTTAAGTAATTAAGTCATGAATGCCTTTTCTGAAATTTGGAAAAAACTTTGCTCTTGACCTATTTCTCCCCTCTTTATCATGCTGATACAGCATTCAAATTCTAGGAGCCAAAAACTTTGTCTTGTGAAGATAATTAGGAATTTCATTAAAGAGGTTATCATAAAATTTTTATGGCATATGTACTTTGGATATGTTATACATATTATGCAGATACCCAAACCCACTGCCATAGAGAGAGTTGATCTAGAGTCTGTCATTTGGGACAGAGTAGAACTGCCTCATAGGATTTTCAAGGTGCTGAAAATTTTATGGAAGCAGACTGCCACATCTTTCTCCTATGGGGCAGCTTGTAGTTTCAAACCAGCGATCTCTTGGTTTGCAACCGAATGCTTTAGCCACTATGACACCAGCACTCCTTCAGTGTTGACACACTTTGAACTAAATCTGCACATTCTTTTGAAAGACTACATAGGGTGGGAGCGCTGATGGCATAGTCCCTAAGGCATTTGACTGCTAACCAGAAGACTGGCGGTTAAAACCCACCAGCCACTCCTCGGAAGGAAGGTTGGGCAATCTACGTCTGTAGTGATACTGCCTCGTAAACCCAAGGAGGGGTCACTATGAGTCAGGATTGACTGGACAGCAGTGAGTTTACATGGTGTAGCTAACAACCTACTTGAACTTTATCTCACCCAAATTTAGAAAGGCAGAGTTTGCAAGTTCCCATCACCGACCCCACCCCCGGTCTCAAGGCTACAAATTCCTAATACTCAGAACCCACTGCTTTTCAGTTTTGCAGCCCTGGTAGAGTTATTGGAAAGAGAGGAATGACAAGAGGATAAAGAGCTATCACATTTTTCTCCATTCATAATGGCTGTATATTGCTGCTTTGAAAAAACAGACTTCCCCAGAAATACGAAAATTTTCAGATAGAGAATTTTCACATGAAATGTTGGCACCTATATGCCCTCAAATTATTTAGGATCTCACAGGAAAATGAGAAGAAAAAAAAATTAGGACAAGGGCTGTGAGAATTAGAAAAAATATTAACACTGTAGAATCTTCTGGCACTTAAAGAATTCTTGTACTCCAAACAGCATAGCTGAAAGTGTCACCCAGAAGTCATCCCACCCATCCATCCATCCATCCATCCATCCATCCATCCATCTCTGACTAAATGGAGGGAGACTCAGTTTCAGTGTGCCTGTTGTTATCTGCAATGATAAACTTCCCTGGATGACCATTAGTCAGGATATTTCCCCATATTTTCTTACTTTTGAGGAGATTTATAGTTAACTTTCTGAAATAAAGGGATTTCACTTGTAAGGCCAGAAAAGACCTTCTGCATTTCATAAATTATTTCCTGCTGTTTATAAAAGGTGGTAATCTTTGGACAAAAAGATGTCATTATATACCTGAACACAGAGAATTATGGAAGGGATTTAAAATGTGTTTTGTCTCAGTTTACATAAGAAGCAAAGTTAGGTTAGAAAACATATATATTAAGAAATATTCTCTTTACTCCTTACTTTATTACTACTTCTTACCTTATTAGGAGCTCTGGTGGCATAGTGCCTAAAGCATTTGACTGCTAACCAGAAAGCCAGGGTTCAAACCCACCAGCCACTCCTTGGAAGGAAGGTTGGGCAATTTACTTCCATAGTGATACCACCTCAGAAATGAAAGGAGGGGTCCTTATGAGTCGAATCCGACTCAATGGCAGTGAGTTTTTTAGTCTTACCTTATTATTACTTACACCTAATATCACCGGCCCCCCCAACTCTCTTCTCCTCTTCACCCTCTCTTCATTCTTTCCTGATCTCTCTCACATCCCACCTTCCCTTCCATGGTCTTTCTGACATAATTAAATGTCCATGTAACAGCTCTTTGTCATGAAACATAAATGGCAATTTTGGAATAGTACTAACATTGCACATATCATTGATTTCCAGGGGTATTTGGATTGATTTTACGATTTGTGTCTTGTGACTCAAGACTCAGAATGAAGATTGGTTCTTGAAGAAAATGAGCATGGGAATAAATGAGGCATGCACTGTAAAGTGAGGCATGCACTGTAAAGTAAGGCCTTATGCTCACCATACTTTTTCTTCCCAAAACTCTCATCTCAGAAAGGTCTTTCATGTGAACCACTAGTCTTCAAAGGAGCTGTGGTGGTTCAGTGTTTAACCACTCAGCTGAGAACCCAAAGAAAGTTTGGCCATTCAAACCCACCAGCACCTCCATGGGAGAAGAGACCTGGTGATCTGCTCCCATAAAAATTACAGCCTAGGAAACTCAACAGGGGACTTCTACTCTGTTACAGAGAGTCACAATGAATCAGGATGGGCTCAACAGCATACGACAACAACAGTGGTCTTCAAAGCTATAATTTAGGGGAAAAAAATGTAGAAGTATCATGGTTCTCAGGGAGAATCACAGGAAAGAAAGGTAGAATCTTCTTCCTTGAGATATGTTGGCCCACTTTGTTGTGAAAGTTAATATAAAAGTGTCTGCAGAGTACATACTTCTTGTGACCAAGCAGAAAAAATCCCCTCATTTCAGTCAAATCCAATGTCATTAAAATTTATTGAGGCCTCCAGATTTAGTTGAAGGTTGAAATATTTTAAGAATGACATCTGTTGCACTGTTCTAAGAAAGAAGAAGGCTGCAGGCTCTGGGATGATCAAGTGCAGATTCAAATTATTATTTTAAAAAATTAGCAATGAAAGCAGCAACGAAGACTACGTAGGCTAATTAAATCCATTCTCTTGAATGGTTAGGACGTGTTCCTTTATTTATCCCTGGAGGATAATGTAGATGCTGTCTCTCACTCTTCCTTCACTCCCCCTCAAGAATTTGTCAACAACCAATGACGTATAGTATTAAGAAGAAAGGTCACCATCCCTGTTGATGTTGATGACGACTTTTGGAAAGCCTTCTTGGCCAAACAGCAGAAGCTGATAGGGAGAGGACAGAGCATCCACATAAGATACTATTTAGTCAGCAGGTGGAGTTTCTGTTTGATTTACTCTGACTAGGGCTTCAAACCAGTTCAATCCATTTCAACCTCCTGCTGAGAATTTGCCTTTACACCTAGATAGAAAGTCAAATTCCCAGCAAGAAGTTGAATCAGATGGAACCAGTTTGAAGACCTACCTCTCACCCACCACTGAAGTTGGAGAAAATGTAACTGCTCCTCTGATGACTTCACACCACCCTCAGCCTATTGTCTTTGCTGTTGAAGCTCAACATCTTTCCCTCACCATCAGCTCCACCCCTCCCTAAGCATGCCCTCTTAGGAATTCAGTGATATCATCCCTTGGTGACAGGCATTGCCAGGACAGAAGAGGAATGAAATGAATGTTGTTAGTGTTCTTTAAAGCTCATTCTAAATGAGGTGCAGAAATTTTTAGTTTCTGGAAGGAATTGTTCATCAAACTAGAAAAGAAATGGTTCTTCTGTTGAGAAGTGAGCTTAGCAGTTGATACATACTGTAAGGAATAGGGCTCCTTGAATTTTCCAGACTAGTATTTTGCAGGCTTAAATGAGTTTTTTTAAAAAATAGACACTTCCTTCATGGGTCTATGGTCTCTTAGGTCTTTGAAGAAACACAGCTGAGTGTAGACAGTCTGCGCTTTCATGCATCTTAACCCGTTCAAGACTGAATTATTTTCTTCTTTGTATTTTTTGTTCAAACCATGTGTTTTCAGAAATGGAAGGCACTTTGAATGAAACAAAAAAAAAATTTTTTGAGGTAATGGATTTTGAAACAATTAGTGGGACACATATGTCCTGAGGGGTCTCTGGGGCTGGGGCTGGTAACCACTGCACCAACAGGATTCCTCAATAAACCCTGGAGGTGGAAAATGTAGATTAGCACTCTACGTCCCATGGGTCATGGATAGTTAAATTTTGTCAATCAAGTCTGCTGAGATCTGGGAGTTGGCCTGCAGGTGGCCCCTCTCTGTGAGACCAGTGATGGGCACTAAAAAGAGTGATACACCAGTGAGGTTGTGGTTAGAACTCCTTTCAGTAAGCTATTTGTCAGAATCTCTCATGCTCTCTATTTTCAGCTGAGAGAGGTGCCTCTTTCCAGTGTGTGGAAACTTGCACCACTCTGCTTCTTTCCCTCTCAGGAACCTACAATGGCTCAGGTGCCCTCTCATTGCCTCCTTTTCCCTCTCTTCTGATTGGGGCTTAAAAACAGTGGCCTGGTGACTTTCCAAGACTGGTGGAGGAAGGGAGGGTGAGCTCACCTGCAGGTTAATAAGGGGATGAGTTCAGTGAGAGACACAATTTCCCTCAGAGTGGCCTTGTGTCACTGTGGCCTGAGGGCAGTGTTGTCCTCACCCTGACTACACTATAATTACCTCAATACATGCATAATGGGCCACTTTTATATCCCCTTCATTTACATATGTCTGCTGCTTCTACTCAGTTCAGAAATAGCTTTGAAAAGGGTAATCATTCAGTTAAACACATTAATCATCATTCAGCGATGAAAAATAACTGGCTTTACAGAAGACTAGATTTGTCTTTCAAACCTGGAAACTCCTATGATTTAAAGTGGATGTGAATTCCCACTAAAATATTATTTATTTTCTAAGTTACATCTCTTCTTTAATTTTCCTTATTTTATTTGGTTTCTTTGTTTCCTTTTGATACCTACATTTCCATCCTATTAATTAGCGAATTTCTTCACTTATTCACTCACTCATTCATTCACTTGACAGATATTTATGGAGTACCCACTGTAGTAAATGTCAATGATAGAACAGTAAGCAAGACAGGCCAAGGTACTGGCTTCTTGAAGTTTAAAGTCTCACATTAAAACCAGTTACCATTGAGTCAATTCCAATTCATGGTAACCCATGTGTATCAGAGTACAACTGTGTTCTGTAAAGTTTTCAGTGACTGATTTTTCAGTAGATCACCAGGACTTTCTTTTGAGGTGACTGACTGAGCTTGAACTCCAATGTTTCGAGTGGCTATTTCTCTTTTCAAGTGTCCTCTTCTTTAACATACCTATCCTCCACATTTGACCCACAGGAAAGCAGGCCTCATCCTTTCCCAGCTTGGGGATCTCAGCAGCTGGTGCAATGGACTCCTCCAGGAACCCAAGATAAGTTTGCGACGCAGCTCACTCAAGTACCTGGGTTGCCGCTATAGTGAGATCAAGCCGTATGGACTTGATTGGTCAGAGCTCAGCCGGGACCTCAGGAAGACATGTGAGGAACAGACCCTGAGCATCCCCTACAACGACTATGGGGACAGCAAAGACATCTAGTACCATGATGCCAGTGAGTGGCTGCCAAAGTAAAGCAAGAGAGAGGAAAGGGCACCTGGGTTGGACTGTGGATTTTTAATGTTTTAAAATGGAACATTAAAACCTCCGAAGGCAACATCTCAATCAGGCAGAAAGTGACACTTGCTCCCTAGAGGACTTCTTTGGTATGATGATCTCCATCTGCATTGTCAGTCAACCTGCCAGCTAGTGGCTTCATGCAGCATCATCTTTCTTTAGGAGGTTTCTTTGGGGGCAGTTTTGCAGTTGATTTGTTTGTTCATTTCTTTTTCCAAGAAAGCCAAAATGAAACCCATTGCCATCAAGTTGATTCCAAGTCATAGCAACTCCCATTGAGTTTCCATGGCTGTAAATCTTTATGGAAGTAGATTGCCTCATCTTCCTTGCAGAGCAGCTGATGGGTTTGAACTGTTGACCTTCTGCTTAGCAGCCAAATGTCTTACCCAGTATGCCACCCAAGGTTCATCAAAATGCTCAAGTGAGCACTCTACTTCCAATGAAAGGTAATCAGGTTGACACACCTCATGCTCACTGAGTTAACTGAGCCCATCGAAAATGGGGACTGAGATGTGACTAGAAAATTGTGAGACCTGCCTCAGGCATTCCTTAGGAAGCATCTCACTCTCTGAGTCAACCTAGCTCACAGAAAAGAAAATAAGAAAGTTGGGGAAAGTGGCTCCCTGACTAGGCCTCAAGCTTTCTCTGAGGTCTTCCTATTACCATCTCCATACCTCACAGGGGAACTAGGCTCCATTTTTTCCCCAGTGGGCCCCCTAGGTTTGTAGGTTCTTTCATGCTTCGAGACAGTTTTGAGTGGTGCCAACAGTTATTGCCCTTGCCTGCTAACAGAAAGGTTGGCAGTTTGAGACCACCCAGAGGCACCTAGGAAGAAAGGACTGGTGATATATGGCTAAAAGATCAGCCATTGAAAACCCTATGAAGCACAGTCTATACTCTGGTACACATGGGGCCATCGTGAATCAGAATCAACTCAATGGCATTTTTTTTTTAATGTTTCTAGATAGGACTGTAATTAAATCTCCCCCTGGAGATCTCTGCCCTCTCCTCATAACAATATGATCTTTGAGAGCCAATAAAATGTTACCCATTAAATCTCCTGGAACAAGATGATCTTTGAAAGATAGTAAAATGCTGCCTGTTAAATGTACCTGCAGAGCAGTCTACCTGGAAGACTAGTTAGGAGAAGATGTACTGGAAAAGAAGTAGAGCTTATAGTTTAGAAAAAAAGAAAAACAAAACAAAACTCCTGTGCCTCCTTTGGATAAACTTCTCCAGACCACGAATATATAGCCAAGCACCTGGATTCACTTTAGTCCCATGCCTCTTACCCTGGGCAGATAAGGTTTGTTGATATCTGCTCTGGTCCAGGAGGGGTTGAGTACCTCCATGTCAGTGTTTTAGTGAACTGTAGCTATTACCGATCACACATACATACACACATACATACAAAATTTCTGTCCATTTTCTCCCTTGTAACACTTGCATAATTATGTTGCTAATTTTGCCAACCCTTTCCCTTGGTGACCATCAGCAGGAGGAGTCCACCATGGTTGCTGCCCACCTAGTTGCTGGGAGTAGAGGAGAATTTTGGTAGGTGAGCAGTTAATGGCTGGGGTATTGGTTCTACCCAGAGTATGGTCATGTTACAGGAAGCCCAGCCTTTCAGAAAGAGCACTGCAAACCCACGTCAGCCTTGCCAGCAAGGGTGTCTTCTGTCCCAGTACCCCAGAGACCTAAACATGCACTTGCAGCAAGTGGCCCCTTACCTCTGACCAGTGCTCTTCATGGGAAGCATGTGAGAAAAGTCAGGAAGGAAGCACAGGATCTATAATGCCAATCATTGAGCTGTACTGATTTTTTTTTTTTTTTAATAGTAATAATGGCAGATCAAATATATTGAGTGCTTACTGTGTGCCAAGCACTGCTCTAAGTGCTCTAAGCACTGCTCTATCTGAATTCTCATAATCCCCGGTGGAAGTGCTCATCTTATCTCCATTCCAAAGAGGAGAAAATTGAGGCAGAGAGGTTATGCAACTTGTCTCAAATCCCTCACCTACTATATGACTGAGCTATGATAATAATTCAGGCTATTGGACTGCAGAACACAGGATTTTAACCACTCTGCAAACCTCAGTAGGCATTTCTCCATTGCCTGTAGCATGCAGCTGTGCCAGCTAAACTTCACTTGAGAGCTGCCCAGAGAGCATTACCTTTCCCAAAGCCTCCATGGTAGAGATGTGCCCACTGCGCAGTGGAAGAGGGAGGAGGCACAATGTACATTTTACCTTCTGGAGCTGGAGCACCCTTTGAGACTACCAGTTCTACCTTCCCCACTGGGGACTGGGAATGACCGTCTGTGATAACCTGCCATAGGTGTCAGCCCTGGGCTGAAAGCACAGGTAGGCTCACTTTCCTCTCTGCCTTTTTTCCACAGAAAGATTGAAAGATTTACTGTGCACTCTATAATGCACTGGTCTGACAAATTATTCTACTTCCAGAGCCATGGCGAGCAGAAAACTCAGATTTCCAGCCCCTGGTTCATGGTAGGGGACTCAGTGAAAATGCCTCCAGGAACACATTTTCCATCTCAACCTCACCATTAACAGGGGTGAATATGCTATAGGCAGTTGGCAACTAAATGGGCAGGGCCAAGGGAAGAGCTAGCTTTGCTGCTGGTACTCTTTTACCATCCTTTTATTCAAGTCCTGACTTAGAGTGGAAGGATGGTGAGGCTGCCATTATCTCCTGTCCCAGAAGTGAGTGAGATGTGAGCTGACGAGCCAGGGAGGGAGGGCAAGGAGTGGCATGAAGATCTCCCCCTTTTCTCCTGTTTTTATTTTAGACATACTATTTCCCTTTCTCCTATCTTCTTCCCCACTCTTGCAAGTTCTTCCATCCCCTTTTCATCCTGTTTATCTTTTCCTTTCTGTGACCCTTTTACCTTGGTCTTCTGTGTCCCCATGATTCCCTTCTTCATTTCCTCTTGTGTTTCTCCTTACAGCACCTGTGTATGCATGCATAAATATGTCATGTGTGTTCGCACACACACACACACACACCTCTTATGACTTGGTCCCATTTACTTTCAGGTTAGAAAGTGAGTCAATATGAATGAGGCAGGGGATAGTCTTAGAATGGTTATATAATTAGCTGGAGGGTTTTTGCTCTAGGAAGACACACCCTGATGACATTCCCCAAAGCTTCCTGGAGAAACCTGTCCTGACTGTAAGAGATGATGGTGCTCAGACAGTATTAAACCTCACATTTCCAAACTACCAAACAGATATTAAGAGGGTTGCTTACATCCCCCCCAATACTGTCCCAGCTATGGGTCTCTCCATGAGCCCTCAGGTGTTTCCTCTTGAATGTACATGAACCATTGTCATAGTATTAGACCTTTAACTAAGTGTGCAATCATTTCCCATGGAGTTTGGTCTGTTCATTATTTTTAGTTAACCATGCTTCTTGATGTTCAAACGTTCTATTAAAAAACTGAGTGTGAAAAAAAAAAAGAAAACCACAACACTTTACTACCACTATAGAAGGAAGAAAGAATATCATGTGACCAACTTCAGGTATAACAGTATTGTTTAAAACAGAATTACTGTACGATTATGAAAGAAATGAGATAATCAACTAAATAATAAACAAAGCTGTTAGTAAGTGTTGGGTGTGTTGGTGTTACCTTGTGTCTTTCAATAATTTAAGTCACTTGATTTGACCCATATGGGAATTGTTAAGGTTTTAAATGTTATATCATATATTCCCAATACATACACCTTGTAGCCTGCTATCCTAAGTAGAAAAAGTATCAGATATTTCACAGTAAAGTATAAGCTTATTATTATATACTGCTGAGTTACATTTTCTCTCTTTCATCTTCTTCGAATAATTAGACAATGAAATGTGAGTGCTGCCTGTCGGCTGTGTGCCACACACCGTGTGTGGTGTGGAGAGTGTAGTGGTGAATCAGACAAGCTTGTTCCCCATCACCAAACATGAAGAAAGTAAGGCATTTAACCCATAGTTAAATGGACGAAGAAAACTATTACAGGGAAATACAGGTTGCTATGGAAGTTGCTGAAATTCACACATTGGGCATGTAAAAAAAAAATGTTACAGAAAGGCGCCTAGACATTTCTTGTCTTGCATTCTGTAGAGTCATTTAGGATGTTGTTGTTGTTGTTATGTGCCATCGAGTCGGACCCGACTCATAGCGACCCCTCCTTGGGTTTCCGAGGCAGTATCACTATGGAAGTACATTGCCCCATCTTCCTTCCGAGGAGTGGCTGGTGGGTTTGAACTGCCAGCCTTCTGGTTAGCAATCAAGTGCCTTAGCCACTACACTAGGATAGAGTGCCTATTATGATATGCTTTATGATAGATAGTCCAAAATGCCCCATCTTTTTCTTTCTCTCTACAATGTAACTTTAAATTGATATTATCTTAGCTGCCACCAACACTTGTGATACCCTTTAAATTCTTAAAAGGAAAGAAAGAAAAAAACAAACAAACAGGTATTAGGTGAACTTAAACCAAGGCACTTATCTGTCCCCTTTATAAGTAACGATCATGAAGTCCTAGTCTTTGCCCCAGCAGGGACTAATAAAACAACATGAAGACTGTGGCAATTTCAAAACATGGTCATACATTCTTTGACACTCTTCTCATCCAGAAGTATGTTCTGTATCCCACCCTTCCATCTGGCTAGCCCATCAGCCAGCTGTATACCACCAAGTCACCCCTATCAATGCCACGTGAAAGAGAAGAATGACCCTGCCAACTTCCACCTGGATTCCTGATGGCCAAATATATGTGCTATAATAAAATGGCTCATCTTTTAAAACAATAAGGCTAGTTAGTGTGTTAGATATCAATAACTCGTTGGCATGAAGTCGATTCCAGCTCATAGTCATCTTATAGAACAGAGTAGAGCTTTAGGGTTTTCAAGGCTATACTCT